TATTATTATTATTTTTTTTTTAAAGCAATTTCGAGACAAAAGGGTTAACATTCAAGTTTAGCCGTCCTTTGTTTATTATTATTATTATTTTTTTTTTAAAGCAATTTCGAGGCAAAAGGGTTAACATTCTGGACACTTGTAAACGTTGACTTGTTTTTAAACCTGGTGTTGTAAACGTGTACACCTGAAAACCTAGATATTAAACAGTCTGGACACTTGAAAGCCCGGACATTTAGAAAACTTGAACATGTACATGTGTGTGTGTGCATGCTGGTGTACATTTTATGCTCCCGTGTCAGCCTTCATGTAGTCACAAAACATCACGTTGCTACCGCAGTGCACATGTTTGTTCCTAGCGAGACCTTTGCTGAAGCTTCATGGCACCATTATTTGACATTGTCCGCTTTTAGTGTATTCTGTGGAGCATCAGGCTGTACATTTGCTGATTGTAATAGCACTTTTCTGCTTATACACATTATAGACTTTTATTTAGGAGTTTTAAGTTTGTCTGTCCGTCTCTCTCTCTCTCTCTCTCTCTCTCTCTCTCTCTCTCTCTCTCTCTCTCTCTCTCTCTCTCTCTCTCTCTCTCTCTCTCTCTCTCTCTCTCACTCTCTCTCACTCACACACACACACAAGTACACAAGCACACACACACACACACACACACACAAGTACACAAGCACACACACACACACACACACACACACACACACACACACACAGTAAATAACACCCACCACTGGATATGGTGGGAATACGAGATGCAGACCAGGAGGGGGCGGGAGTTGCAAATCAAGTATCTGATCTAAATCAAGCAAGAAACTGGTGAAAAAGGAGCTGTTCACCTCATCTCCTGGGGCCATTGTATGATGTATGTGAAACACTCCATGTTCCTAGCTCGGTGTTTGTTGCTTCAGTATTAACTTGTTCTTGCATGACTGTATCTTCGTTGACTTTATGGAGTTCTATCATTCCGTCTCTTGTCCTGATTATAAATTCTGACAGACTATATTGTCTCTTGATGTTTTCTGCCCACTTTTATCATTGTGTACATCTTGTTGACCTAGTGTGGGTTTTAGAAAGTGTGTCATATCATTCAATGCTGGCAAAAATTGTGTACTATTGTATGTCGCTCTATAATCATAGAGTTGGATCTGCATAAAAGCAGATTTAAAAAATTGACCTAGTTTTCTTTCCCCATGTGAGGAAGAAGATCATCAAAGATCATGAAAGTAGAAGTCAAACTTTGACCTGAAATTAGTTTTTGAGACTTGACTATTAGAAGTTATTTTTTTTTTCATCTTCTTTATTTCCCCTCTTGTTTCTAAGGTGAAAAAAAAACTGGTAAAAATAACTTTGTCTTCATTTCCTTCCCAATCTTTCTTGCTCTCCAGTGTTAACTTTTGGAATTTTTTTAAATTTCACCTCATTATTTTGGTCATACCCTGTTTGGTTTGTTAGATGGAGGAGATACGAGTCGCAGATGGCGACGATTTACCCATCACTCCATGAATGCCGTCGCCCAGTGCAGTGCCTTGTCTCCATTGATGCCCGTAATGTAAGCATGTGTGTTGATTCTGTAGTGCTGCATTCTTACCATACTCAGGAATTATTATGATTTTCTTTTTTGCAATTATAGTTGGAAGGTAACATCATTTTTTTATATTTAGAAAAAAAAAAAACCACCATAATGGACAGAAGGCTTTAAAGTTACTTTCATGTTTTCTCAATTGTTCTTTTGTATTTCCTTACCAGTCTTTCTAAAAATCTAGAGCTTTTGTAAAAAATCATTACTGTACAATTTTTATCACCTTTTTTTGCATGTGCCAGTTTGATTTGCTTGCCTTTTGTTTTTTTAAACTGTCAGAAGTCATTTTAAAAATCTGGTCTTTTGCTTCAAACATTTTGGATTTATGCTAAGAAAATAATGTGTCTTTGGACATCAGCATTTAATATTCAGATTCGAAGCACTAAGATTGCACTTTATACTATAACTGGTAAAATATTTGAAATGTAAGTAACTATTAATCTAATTTTTGTAATCAATTAATGCTTTTTATACATGAATTCTAACTAGTAGTGATGTAAGTTTTACCAGTTTTATAGTATTTCTGACCATGACTTATGCGGATTTGATGTTTATTATAATAATTTTACTCTGGAAAAAAATTGAGTGAATGTCCCTTTGCATGTATCTGCTCTGCTTCCTTTGCTTAAAGCAGAGTTTCCCAAACTTTTCTTGTCACGGCGCCTTTTTTCAATTAAATTTTTTCCACGGTGCCCTAACCTAAGTAAAAATATATGACTATTTGTGTCTTGGTTAAATTAATTATGAAGCTTTTACAATATTTTGGGGTGCCCCTGTGAAGAGGTTGCGGCTTCGCGGGCGCATATTTTGGGAATCACTGGCTTAAAACATGGTTTTGTTGTGCTTTTTGCATCATTTGCTTGATTATTTAGTTTGCTTTGGCTATTACAGATCTGCAGTTAAGGGTTTTTTAAAAATCCTGTTTATGCTAGCCATGCTCCAGAGTATGTTGCAGGTCTAATAATTATACAGACCAGTCAGAACACGGTGGGTATGTAGTCAACATCAGGCCAGAGTAGGGGGGGATCAAGTCACACATTTGACAACAGAAACATATTTCGTTTACTATATTACACTGTGCTTTACTTAGCACAGCTTTCATGTTTTCTTTGATTACAATTCTAGTACTTGCCTTAGGGGGCTTTTGGCTTTTATGAGTGATTGTATTATTTTATAATGGTGCTTGGTGGAATTATGTTGGTAATTCCTTCTTTTTATGCAAATATTTTGGGCCCTTGCATTGTATTAATGAATTTAATTAGCATAAGATATTCGGCCAATCACGTGCAAATATATTTCACTGGGTGTAAATGGTTTTATAATTGGTTGGGACTTGAACAGTAAACTAACAAATATGTACGCAAGATGCATCACACAGTTAGAAGGATTAAAGTTACATCATCCAAAATGCTTCCGTCATCATGATTATTATCACCACCATGTGTCATGCAGAGCAGCACAGGTGATCATGTTCCTTAAACATCTGTACCATATCTTCTTCTTCTTCTTCTTCTTCTTCGCGTTCACCGGATGTAAACTCCGACGGAAAGTTCTGGTTGTTTGTCTATTTCTGGTCTGCAGTTCTGTTCCAGAACCTGAGTGTTGCATGTGCATCTGTTTGACAGATCTGACTAGATTGTATGCAGACTGTTGGCTCCCTGCCTCTCAGGCAGATGCACTCTGACTTAGGAGAAGTGTCCCATGTGTTATAACTTCAGCGACTGAATCCCTTCCATGCCACTCCATCTAACTGCCCATCATTTTCTCTTTCTGTTTATCTCTGCCTCTCTATAACACCCTGTTTCTTTCCAATAGACATTCAGATTACATCATCACTGTGCACTCTTTGCAGATGTGTGGTTAATTTTTCCATTTGTTTGTGTGTTATATTACATTGTCTCTGCATGGGTTCTGGGGAAACCAAGAATCAACTCACTGCCTCCTTAACAAGCATGTCATAAGAGTTGATTAATTAGAGGTTTCTGTCAGAGTCCGAATGCATCTGCCTTAGAGGCAAGGAACCTACAGTCTGCTCACAAATAAGCCATGAAACACTTCAAGTTCTGGAACAAGACTTAAGTCCAGAAGTGGATGAACAACCAGAATTTTCATCCAGAGTTTACAGCCAATGGACGCAAAGAAGAAGAAGAAGTTATTGTATTGTATGGGTTTATTTGGTATGGTTTATAAAGGATTGCCAACAGAATCTCAGATCTGGTCAGTGCCCTTGTACTGCATTGCACATGGGTATCTCTATAAGTGGTACAGTCTCCTCCCGTAAATCACCCCCTAAGGCTCTGATCGCAACACTTAGAATTTAAGGAAAGAAGAGGAAGCTCTCCTTTTGGACACAGAAGAAAACATTTAAACAAAAGGAAACTTTCCTGTCTCGCTAATTGATAGGATTTATAATTGTGAGATCTGTGGGACATAAGGATTTGGGTTAATGGGACACGGGTCAGGAGTTCTCTCTGAGACAGTCTCATAGCCCCCCTCCCCCTTGGCTAACCAGCAGCATTTATTTTGTTGTACCTCAGTAACTTTGTTGTATCTTGATAGCTGCTATATTTTTTGTTTGGTTTTAGATGGAATACGAAGATGCATGAGGTAGTGTTTTATGATTTCCACTATTCTCCCAGTGTTTGCTTTTAGTTGCAGAGAGTGAGCCTTCTTTCTTGTGGCGGTAGTGCATGCGAGTTTGTTAGTTGCACTTGTTTTTGTTTTGTATCTGTTAACATTCCAGAGCTGTGAGTAAATTTTGCTCTTTGCTTTATTTGTTGGGTGGGTCATATTTTCAGTACTTATTCACAGCTGTACCATTAAGTTCCGGTGCAGACACTTTAAAGCCATAGCACTCGTATTTTTTTTTAATTCAGAGGTTGCATATAATCATCTCATTTTATTTTACCATTAGCTTTGTGTAGGCTGTTCACAAGTTTAAATAAAGTAACAGAATTTCTTTTGGCTAACAACTGTCAGACAGATACTAGAATTTATGCTGACAACTGTCAGTAAAGTAGTAGAATTTATGCTGAACACTTTCAATCAGTTGTCAAATCTCTACTGACAGCTATAGATAAAGTAGTAGAATTTTTGCTGATAACTGTCAGTCAGGTAGTAGAAATTATGTTGACAACTGTAGATAAAGTAGTATAATTTCTGCTGACATCTACAGATAAAGTAGATCTTCTACCGGCATCTATCAGATAGAGTTGTTTAATTTTTGATGGCATCTACAGAAAAAGCAGTTTAATTTCTGCTAACACCTACAGGTAAAGCAGTTTAATTTCTGCTGACATCTACAGGTAAAGCAGTATAATTTCTGCTGACATCTACAGATAAAGTAGATCTTCTACCGGCATCTATCAAATAGAGTTGTTTAATTTTTGATGGCATCCACAGAAAAAGCAGTTTAATTTCTGCTAACACCTACAGGTAAAGCAGTATAATTTCTGCTGACATCTACAGGTAAAGCAGTATAATTTCTGCTGACATCTACAGGTAAAGCAGTATAATTTCTGCTGACATCTACAGATAAAGTAGAACTGCTACTGACATCTACTGATAAAGTAGTAGAACCGCTAGTGACATCTACAGATAAAGTAGTAGAACTACTAGTGACATCTACAGGTAAAGCAGTATAATTTCTGCTGACATCTACAGGTAAAGCATTATAATTTCTGCTGACATCTACAGGTAAAGCATTATAATTTCTGCTGACATCTACAGATAAAGTAGAACTGCTACTGACATCTACAGATAAAGTAGTAGAACCGCTAGTGACATCTACAGATAAAGTAGTAGAACTACTAGTGACATCTACAGGTAAAGCAGTATAATTTCTGCTGACATCTACAGGTAAAGCAGTATAATTTCTGCTGACATCTACAGGTAAAGCATTATAATTTCTGCTGACATCTACAGGTAAAGCATTATAATTTCTGCTGACATCTACAGATAAAGTAGAACTGCTACTGACATCTACTGATAAAGTAGAACTGCTACTGACATCTACTGATAAAGTAGTAGAACTGCTAGGGAAATCTACAGATAAAGTAGTAGAACTGCTAGTGACATCTACAGATAAAGAAGTATAATTTCTGCTGACATCTACTGATAAAGTAGTAGAACTGCTAGGGAAATCTACAAATAAAGTAGTAGAACCGCTAGTGACAGCTGCAGATAAAGTAGTAGAGAGGGAGCATTAGATCTTTCTATCTTGCTGCTGTCAACAATTTAGGGGTGTGTTTTTGTTGGCTGCTTGTTTTGTTTCAGCTTCCTTCATTTCCACAAACCTCTCATAAAATATTTTTTTTCATAATCACTTCCCTTAGGTTTGGTTGTTTTCTTCTTTGCTTTTGTTTGTTTTCCCCCCGCAAAACTTCCATATCCTGTCTGGGATAGTATATAGTACAGGTTCAGCTCCCTGTTGTTAAAGGATGTTAAAGGAACATCACCTCATCAAATCTGTGTCTGATGTTTCTTTAGGCAAGTAGGAATGACGAGCAAGGGAGCTGGTCACCTAATCTGTTACTCAGTCCCTAATGCATGCAGCAGAACCTTTGCAGAACTTCACTCTCATCATGGTCTGCCTGAAAGAAACTGGGTCTCTTGCCAGCTTTCCCCAAGTCGTGCACTTTCCTACCCAAAGTGTTGCTTATATCCTGTGCCCATCTTCATGCTGCTCAGCCCCTACCCCTCTTTCCTGGTACCATGCCTTCTGCAATTATTTTTTTCTCCAATCCACCATAGAGCTTGATATGGCAAAAATATTTATGAGACAGGATGCTGTTTATTTGACAATCTTCCGTGATGTTCAGATCTTTTAGGATGCCTGTATTTCTTTCCTTCTTGGTACATGGTATTCTGAGAATGTTTCTATAGCATTTCTAGTCTCTTACTGCTCTGCCATAATGTACCATGGTCTCTTCTTACTGCCCAGGCTTTGTGCTATGGAGAAGATGAGTTTATCTCAATCCCTAATTGTCTAGTCACACTCACTATCGCCATGGGCTGTGATTTGCATGTCTTCCTGTAGCACAGTATAAACTGTCATCTGTAACGACAGAAAGATGCCAACAACATCAGAAATGACATAATGTGTTTAAATCTTTGTGACTTCAGAATTGACTGATTTATGTCACCTCTTAACCTCATGTTAAGGGCTTCACTGGTACAGTGGCTAGATGCTTGCCTGTTAGCCTGAAGTTCTTGAGTTTAAATCTGGATTGGGGCAGAGTTTTTTATAGATTTTTTAAAATAAGGCTTTGGCAACAAGGATGATGAATGGGAGACTACAGCAGCGGCCCTAAGTCCTAGACTTCATGATGATGGTCCGCACCTGTCTTGCACCCACCTCTGATGAATGAACAATCGAACAAAACTTTATTTTTTCCGGCGTCAAAATTTGAGCACTTACATATAGTACATCTTACATTTGGGCCCTTCCAGACACTCGTCTTTCACACATGAATTGTATCTGTATAGTCAAAGTAAGCCTTGACTCTTGCATACTAAATTGCAAACCATTTCATCTGTAACTCCTTGTAAACGTACAGATACCACCTTCAGATGAAGAAAAAAAATGTAGATGTCAGTGCCACAATAAAGTCTGACTACAGTACAGCCACTGTTCTCTCTGGGAACATTGGGTGATAAAGCCCCAGTCTCTTCCACAATGCAATTCTCGTCCTGCTGTCTGAAAGCCATCAAAAAGTTTGTTTTAAATAAACTGTCCACTAAAAAAATCGAACTGTTATATGCATGGTTTATGCATTCGCTAACCTCAAAGCCACAGAAATGTCATGCAGTTCAGATCCACATCTAGCAGGATTTTTCTTTTTTCAAAAACAACCTTGGCTTCCAGGTTAAAGCAGCCTAAAATGGGTACCTGGTAAAGTCCTGGGAAGTAAAGGCAGCTAGCATGATGTTGACCTCTGAGCACCTATTATTCTATAAAATGTAGGGCTTACACTATAAACCCAGTATGCCCCAGAGCAGAAAAGGGTCCTAGACTTTCACTTACAGCAGTGGTTCTCAACTGTCCTAATGCCGCAACCCTTTAATACAGTTCCTCCTGTTGTGTTAACCTCCAACCATCAAACTATTTTCATTGTTACTTTATAACTTCAGTAAATATGTGTTGTCCGATGGTCTTAGGCGGCCCCTGTGAAAGGCTCGTTCAACCCACAAAAGGGTTGCAACCTTTATGTTGATAACTGCTTACTTAAAGAGGGAGGTAGCTATTTCTCTTTCCTGCACTATTTCATTTATAACCCGTTTATTTTTATCATTATATTTAGAATTTCTGGTGTAGAGCAGTGTTTAATTTCTATTGTTAGTCGTGTCAGTACACAGTCAGGTGTTTATTTTGTCACTTAGGCACACTGTGAGAGGTTTGTCTCAAGTCACGGTGACATGTTGTGACAGGTTTATTTTGTCACTTAGGCACACTGTGAGAGGTTAGTCTCAAGTCACTGTGCCATATTGTGACAAGTTTATTTTGTCACTTAGGCACAGTGGGAGAGGTTTGTCTCAAGTCACCATGACATATTGTGACAGGTTTATTTTGTCACTTAGGCACACTGTGAGAGGTTTGTCTCAAGTCACCGTGACATGTTGTGACAGGTTTATTTTGTCACTCAGGCACACTGTGAGAGGTTTGTCTCAAGTCACTGAGACAGGTTTATTTTGTCACTTAGGCACACTGTGAGAGGTTTGTCTCAAGTCACCGTGACATGTTGTGACAGGTTTATTTATAACCACTGTGACAAGCTTTAATAAAAAATGTTGTTAGGCACATTTCTAAGCTTGTGTCAGGCTTGTGTTTAGTCACTGTGACTTGTGACAGGTCTGTTTATAGTCACAATAACACACTAGGATGAATCGGTCCCCATCATGACTCCCTAATATATATGTACACAATACTAAAATGTTATTTACACAATAACCACTATGTTATGTACACAATAACTAATGTTTTGTATATGCAATAACTAGTATAATTGTATGCAGTAACTAATATGTGTGTACACAACACACTGGTTTTAAATTCTAGAGAATCTACTTCATTTGTTTATCCTGCTGTCCTCTCCACAAAATGGCTATCCGCCTAGTGCTGTGGCAATCACACAAAGTGCGAACTCCATAGCACCAGGACAACCCCCAGGGATCTCTGTAAAAATTGCACTCCTGAAACGATGCAGTCCGTAAAATGAAGCCATGACTTTCATAGCAGAAGCGCGACTTTCACAGTATAAGACAGATGACGTTACTACCACAAAGATCCCCAAAAAACTTTAATCTGTGTTTACATGCCAGACTTATCTTCAGATACAGGGAGACCTTGGATACGAGTTTTTCTGGATATGAGGTTCGGCTCGTTGTTGCCCCAGGATAGAAAGCAGAATCCAGTATGTGAGCTGGCGATACGAAAACTCTCGGTATTACTTCCCACCATCTCGATAACTTCCAAATGGGCTACGTCACTTTAATGTTGCCAAAGGAAGACATAAGCCAGTCGACAGGACACTTGGGTACCTCTAATGAATTCCCATGAGGAGCTGGATATGATATCTCCTGTCTCAGCCTAAAGGCTGCATAGATATGCTTCACCATGCTTTACTCCCAGGTCACTCAGTCATGTTAGTGTCAGAGATATATCATTATCCACTAGCCCAGTCCGTACAGCACTGATGAATTTGCCCTGTCCTCGCTTCTTCCCACATGCACTGGTGGATTGCTTGCCAGTCAATCCACTCACTCATTACCTTTTACACCTGCATGACCAGGTGTGCAGATCCAGGTGAGGGGGGTTAAGTATGATTTTTTTAATGATTTCTACCCATTACTAAAATTATGCCAGGTCGACCCAGCCTTGAGTGGGTACAGGGTGCAGTCCTGGGAAAGTGAAGGCGGCCGGCGTGATACTGACCACATCACCCATCTTGTTCCGATTGGTCTATAAAAATATAGGTCTAGCCCTATGTGCCCTATACGCCTTAAGGCGGGGAAAAGGGTCCTTTACTTTACTTACTAAAATTGTGTGGGTGCTGCAGAGATATGTTTACACTGTGGGCAAATAGACAAATTTAATGAAGACCACTTAAAAAGGGAAAGAAAAGGGAACTCATGAAAATAACTGAATACCAATCTAATGCCTTATGGCAAAGACTATGAGAAATATACCAAGTAATTTATCTTACCAGTGAGTGTCTAGTCTGTGATTTTCTGTATGTTGCTCTTCCTCTGGATCTCATTATATCGTGTTTAGTATTGCCATAACCTGTTGTAGTTATCGATTTCTGTTTATCTTTTATGTAATGAATGAATTAACATGGTCTGCCATTTTATATCCTTTCTTTTGCAGATTATAGATGATAGCCAGGTAGGTGACCTCGGCTTGGGAATGTCAAACCATGACCAGATGGCCGTCTTCCCAACAAGAGTCAATCTGCCAGGGGTCAAAGGGGAAAAGGTCTAGACGTTCCAAAACTAAACATTACTGCCAGGAGAGTGAGTGAGATGGCTGAACCCCAGGGGCTGTGATTCTTGCTGTCAGTTGGTGATGGTTTGCGTCTGCTCAGGATATTTTTGAGTGTGCAAAATGTGCTCTTCATATGCAATTAGCTTGAATATTTCTTGTCAAAAATCTGGCCCTTTTATGCATGTTGTGGTTAGGACATGCATAGGACTGTGTTAACTTTGTGCTTAGGATATTAGATGAATTAAATGTTAGTTTATACATAGGATGCTGAGTGCTTTTATAGGCTAGTTTGTATGAAAAAACAGTTAGTGATTTGATATTTCATATGTAGGAACTTCTTCCTTGCCACCTGGCTTTTGAAGGCTTGTCCATCCAACCACAACCTTTTCTCTTGTGTACTTTCAATCATTTCCGGCACAGATGATCTTTCATAAAATCAAAGTGTCCTGCATCTTTTCCAGTTTGGTATTCGCCTGCCTTGTTTCCTCTCTTAACTTTTCCACTGTCAGGACGTCCTACAGTTGTCCCCTCATGATGTGACCAAAGAAGAGATTCTCCTTCTAATGTGGATAATCAGTTCTTCTCATGACTTAATTTTAATTTTTTTCAAGATATCTTTATTACCCTCTTCATCTATCCCTGGTGGCCTCACCATACGTTTATGAAACCACATTTCCACTTAATTGTGTGC